CCCCCCTAAAAGCATTTAAAACCATTTAAAAGATAGATTATAGGGGTATGAACTCACCTTATTTGGGTGATTCAATTGAAGATTCGAATAAGGATGATAAGTTCCACGAATGAAGTCCCGAGGCACAAATGAGTCCTAAATGACATATAATGATACATATTGGCATGTAATTAGTGAATCTAACTACACAGGTGATTGGGAAACAACCTAGGATGCAAGAATAACTCACCAAAAGAGTTCTAGAAGCAAGTTAGGAGGCTGAAAGGGTGTTCACGGCTGGGCTTGAGGTGTTCACAGCCCAAGAACACATAAGTTTTCACGGCCCAAGATGAATGGTTCACGACCCACTTGAAGGTTCACGGCCCAAATGATGAATAACACTTGAAGATATTAGTGTTTTGGTGAGTGTTTGAAGGCTATTTGATGTATTCCAAGAAGATGGTAACAAAAAGGGCTTAAAAAGAATGAAAGATGAAGTTCTTGTGGATGATACTTGAGAGAGATTTGAGAGGATCACGGCCAAGAGGTGAGAAATGAAGATAAAAATGATCAAACACTTATATATAGGAAGGTGATTGCGGCCGAGGAGTTCACGGCCGTGAACCGAGGGTTCACGGTCCGAAGATGTTTCACGGTCCGAAGTTCTTGGCTCCTTTCACGGCTGCGAAGCTTTGTGGTCAATGCGAAGGCTCTTGGTTCCTAAGGCTTTTCCCTTCCAACTATAACACACTTAGATACAAGGCTTCAAAACTTGTAAACCAATAATCCATCTAATTCAAGATAATGGAAGGAATAAGTTTGACCAAAGTTGACCTTATAAGAATAAAATTTTCGGGTTGTGACAGTCAATAAAATGACCAAAATACCCCTCGATGGTTCCATTGCTAAATTGTATTGCTTTAAACTATTCCTTATGTAAAAATATAAATACAGGCGAAAATCGCACGAAAATATGAGTTTGTATGTAAAAGTTATGAAGGAAATACTAAATTTCAGATTTTGGCGGAGTTGGGCACCCTAATGCCTTTGCGTAGGTCGCGTGCCTGACCACGCGAGTCGCGTCCCGTAGCAGCCTAAACGCTCCCTAAAACTCACTTGTTGAGGCTTACACTTGCTTGGATGGTTTTGGTCTTTTAGGTAACCATTTGAAACACTTTTAAAGGTTTCCAAACATTACTAGAGGACGTTTTATCATGTCGAAACATTCAACTTAATTCATTACATCCTCAATCAAAATGCTAAGTTCATATGCTTATGAACACTCAAACGAAGGGTTAAGATCTCAAGTTGATCAAAAACACTATTTAACCAATATGACTTATTCCTAAATCATTTAGTACATGATTGGGTGTTTTCAAGCACATAAAACCACAATTAATCTCATTGAAAATACTTAATCCAGCTATGGAATCCTCAACTCCATTCCATGTTTCCCAAATTGCCCTTTGGGTTAAAACAATCAGTAGAGCTATAACTTCACTAGCATTCCTTCATGTTTATGTTCCAATATCATCTTTAGAGTGTCAATTCATATTCATGAATGCCATTCACTTCTAATATGGCAATCATCATATAGTTATCCCTATATTTCCCAAAAATGCCCTTATGGCCAATTATTCCATAAACTCAACTATAGATCACCAAACCCTTCATGTTATTGCATTCAAATCATATTATTAGTATCAACTCATGTTTATGAGTATCATATACTCATCAAATGCTCACATGCAGAGGATTATATTGTTTTCATCACAAATTTCCCCTAAAACCATAAAAAACCAATGCTCATACTTGATTATACCATCATGGATGAATTTGAGCATTCCAATTGGATTTGTTGCTATCAAATATCATCCATATCATAAAACCCAATCAAATTTCATCATATGTTGCAATATCTCTAATGTGGGTTTTCTAGGGTTCATGAGGGTTTTCATCCAAATCATCCAATCCACCTATATAGTGATTGGTCTGAGGTTGGAATCATCAAAACTACTTAAAGGAAGTTAGAAACCAAAACCCTAATCATTAGAAGAAGTTAAATTCGACATTGAGTTTTTCTATAAACGTTGAACTCGGAAATTAGGTTTAAAAGAGAAGATATTATACCTTTAATTATAGCCTTTGGTTGCTTCCCTTTTTGCTTGAATGCTGATGGGTTTTATAGGTTATAATTAAAACATGTGGCGGAAAAGCTTAACCCTTAAGTAAACATGCAGTCTATTTGGATCCAGGTTTTCTCTATTGATAGCAACAGTTTATGAACATTAAGAACCCTAAAGAAACCCTACTATAATAGAAAATTACAAGGGATTAAGGTTTACATATATTATTGCAAATAATCAACCAAATACTTATTCATAAGGATCGTAGGAAGCAAACACCAAAAATCTAATGCCTTTGATGGTTTGTATCAAAACCCTAGCAAATAAGAAGACTCGAGAAGATAGGAAAGGGAATATGATTTTCGGCTATTCCTTTGGTAGAAGTGGTGGCCGAAAATGAAAAGCCAAGGGGCTCTATTTATAGCTGATATAAACAGTATTGGAAACCCTAATTTGAATACAATATTATTATTTCATATTTTGTAATTATTCAACTCCTTAATTATCTTTAAGGATTAATCTAAAATCCTTAAAAAAAACTCCTAAAAATCATTCATAACTCATGGAAGGTTTTGGAACCTCTCTTGTTCAACTATTGAACGATTACAGCTTAAGTCCATACACTTTTAATTAATCCAATTAATCCCAAAATCAATTTCTATTAATTTCTGATTAACTATTAATTAAATAATACTATTTCTAATTAATATATTAATCTCATAACATATTAACAAATTATTTATTTCCATTTATTAATCATATAATAAATCAATAAATCAATCTTTCTCTCCAAAAGTCATTATAGTCAATTACTAGTTTTGAGGGCAACCCAAAATGACTTTGCTTTTAATTCAAGTATATACAAATTTAGTTATTGGCTTAGATGCCTAATCCAACAGTCTCTCACTTAGATAAGTCTATAACTACAATTGCAAATATAACTTCTAAATTAAACAACAAAGTGTGCTTTCCGAAGCAACTGTCACACTCATATTTGATCATACATCGGCCTTAAGATAAGTGATCAAATATTACTCCGTTCTTCAAGATATTGTACGGACACGAGACATGAATTACAATCAATATCTCGTCCAAAATTCTATTTTCCTAATTTCCTGATTTGTGATGACCTCATTAGACTACTAATTGAACACATCAACTCAGTCCTGGCTGGGGCCAACACTATAATGTCAACACCAAATCACCGATGGGCCAAAAGATATCGCTTTTCCCGTTAAGGCATAAGGAATGAATAAAAACTTCGACTTATATGCTTGTATCTTTTACTCACCAAATAATGCATGACACTATGTTTTATAACACCATGTTACTAATGCGTTTACGTAACACCAATACACAACCGACTTGTAAATTACAACTCATATATCTCTGTTTTAATAATAAAAGATATTATCGTTTCATAATTACTCGTGATATAATCTATGGAGTAATTCCCTAAGCATGTGTTTATCCAATACTCAAAATCTCATTTTCTAAGTACTCATGAACATTGTATCAAATATCATTGCAATGTCTAACTCCTATAGACAATCTACAATTCAATTTATGACAGTCTTGATTCACTACTTACTTCCCAAAGTATGAATGACTATGGAGTTTTAAATAATCAAATCATTCAGGCAGTAAAAATGCAAAGCGAAACATAAGAATAAACAACTGAAAAAGGCAGTAACCATACTCATAAATAATATCTATTATTTAATCACCAAAATCAATTACATTTATTTTGTTACAAGTTTCAAACTATCAACTAACTACTAAAACTGACATCACCTCTTAAGCTTATGCTCCTAACATATTGATTATGCTTAACTCTACTAAAAGCCATTGTGAAAGGATCTGCATGATTATTTTATGAGGATACTCTCTTCATTAGGAAATGACATTCTTCAACCCTATGTCTAATGTAATGGGTACATTCTATTGATATGCTTGGATCTATCATGATCCTTGGGTTATTTGGTCAATGCGATCGCGCCTTCATTATCAAAAAAATGTTCCAATGACATTATAGTAATTTCATCATTCAGAGGAACCAAATACGCAATGAAACTAGCACAAAAGGACACCAATCTAAAAAAGTCGGGGTTTGGGCCAAAAAAAAAATACATACTACATGGACCATTTTTATAATTTTGTCTTTAAAATACAATAATACCATATCTGAGAGAATTTTATATATATCATCATTGAACATCAAAATATTATATTTGCCGACTTAATTTTTAAATATCATATATAACCATTCACCAAACTTTAAAATATCGTATATGCTCTTCTTAAATATCAAAATATCATATATGACATTCTTAAATATCAAAATATCATATATGCCATTCTTAAATATCAAAATATCATATATGTCGTTCTTAAACATCAAAATATCAATGATAATATCTAAATATAATCTATCAATAATATAACAATATTCAATGATAACAAAAACTAAGCAATCAATGCATACATTCCATGTAGAGGGTTGAAGCTAAAACGTTTAGTTTGTCAAAAATGACTACACACTATTAAAAACATTGTAAAAATATGGTTTAAATTTTTAATTATTATAGACGTAAGAATAATATGATTTAAATTTTTAATTATTATAATAATTATAAGATATAAAAAATGACTACACACTATCAAAAACATTGTAAAAATGATTTTGGCATATGATATTTTGAAGATTTAAAAGATAAATATGATTTTAAAAATTAAACTGGACAAATAAAATATTTTGATGTTTAAAAATGAAATATACAAAATTCTCATTTATTAACATATATTCGTTCATTGAAATATTTATTTTTGTAACAATAATCTATTTTGAAATATTCATGCGTGACTTGAGCCTCCATTCAGATAGCTTAAACAAGAATGTCGAGTAAGAACCATATAATCAAGATTAAAACAAGGACCAATTAGTAATTATATATTTCTAATTTTGTTGTATTTGTCTATTGAATATTGGAACCGTTTATTCAAAATTAATTATTTTAGCCCTAAATAACTAAATAATTATGAAAATCTGCTTATTAAACCATCTCCAATGCTGGTTCAATGAGAGTTGAATGGGGAGTTTAATCCCATTAAACTCAAAATCCCCATTGTGGGTTAATGACATGACATTCAATAGAATAGAGAGTTTAATCCCCATTGAACTCTACACTCTCTCTCCTCATACACACACATAAATGATGTGACAATCCATTAAATTGTATTGAGTTTAATGCATTAGAATCACCTTAAAATTTAAAAACGATTAAATACATTTAAACACATTTTAATCATCAAAATCAAAATCTGATATCATAAATTACCGATAATATTCAAAATAACTAATAAATAATTTTTATAAATCATCCAAACAATGAAACAACAAAACAAAGGCGGAGAGTAGCGTTGAAATTTGATTTTTGGGAATGGAATCCATGTGGGAGGGAAATGACAAGAACAAATAAACCCCCCCAAAATTTGCAAAATCCCGCCTAATTTTCTTACAGGTGGTGCTCAATCCAGAAAACATTCGCATCATCACGAAGCAAAAACCCAAAATCTTCTTCATTCTCTCTCCTCTATCACTTCCGTCGCCGCTTCATATTTCCTTTTTCACTGTTTCAGCATACCGATGGTCTGAAATCCAGCTTCATATCAACTATTATCATTGCGTCTTCATCCGGTTATCAGGTAAAAATTTCACATTTGAGATTTTATTCACAGTTTATTTGTTATTTAATGTCTGAGCTGAATGGTCTTGAACCTTGAAGCGGGTAGGGTTTTGGTCCTTTAGTTACAAAGTGCCCGTTCACGATATTTGACGATCAACCGATTCGATAGTTTAAATTCGTCGGTATTCGAGTCATTGTGTGTGCGATATTTTGTCAAGATGACCTTCGATGTAATGAATGAAGGCTTTATTTTGTCAGTGTGCATGCATTAATGTTATATGATTCTGTGTAGGGTTTCTAGTGATGCGATTTAGGTCGACTGAGATATCAAACTCGGAGAAAGCAGAATCTGATTTTTCTCTGGAGAATCGTGATGCCGTTGATGAAAGTATGGGTTCATTGAACTGTGGTTTCGAGCCTTTGTTGGATGGAATAGTTGAAAAGAGGGCAAAAGAGACCGAACATATGGTATGTGTTGATAAACCTGCTTATGATCTTGAAGTTGTCATGTGTAAGGTAGAAAAGAGCATAACCATGGAGGATAAAAACGATAGCAGAGATGTGGATGATACATTGCTACATTTGGGTTCAAAGGTGTTGGCTTCTACAGGAAATATTATTAAGTCCCGTGCAGAAAGAGAAATGGACGAGTGTGTTAAAATTAAATGTGTTAAAGTTCCTTTTAAAGAAGGAAAATATTTGATGCCTGTGAATTCATATGAGCTGGATTGTAGTTTGAAAGAGGAAATAAAATCATCACGTGTGGTATCAACTGATACTTGTCAGCCTAAGGTTTTAGCTCCTACTTCACCACATAAAAAAGCCATGGAATATAAAAAATGGTCTGCAAATGTGGAATTTGGGAGCAATGTTGATGCTGTTGCAAATACCATTGATGAGGATGACAAAGCTAGTATTGGGATTAAAAAAGGTAAAAGGGGGAGGAAGAGGAAACCTTTGAAAAGTTCTGAATGTAATGGAGATGTAAGGGATAAAAAAGAAAAAGTTAAGAAGGGTGGGCCCCACCTAAGTGGTAGGGTGCTGCGGTCAAGGCCTATGATGAAGAGTGACAATGTCAAGGTGGATGAGAGTGGGCTCTGTGAGAGTCTTGTTGGCTTCAAAAGAAAGATGGAAGCTGAATGTTTAGACCAAACTGAGGTCAAAGAAGTCAATGTAAACAGTCAACTGACTGGTCAACCACGGAAGAAGCAAAAACGTCGTGGAAGACCTCCTAAGGCACAAGGTGAATCCACATCATTACATGTGACTGATGACGTGGCGGTTTTCAAGAAATTAGAACGCAGGGGAAGACCACCTAAAGTGCAGGCAGGGGAGTTGACCAATTCAACAAAGTCAAAGCTTGTGGTGGGCAAGAAAAACAACAATCAGTTGAAGGGTAAAAATGTCAAAAAGAGTCCCAAGATTCACAATGGGCATAAAGAAGATGGAGTATTAAACACCACTGGTGACAACAAACAAAAGTTGAAGAATTCTAAAAAAGACAATGATCACACAGGTGGTGAAAAGAGGCGAGAAATACAGCAGTCAGTGAGAGATCAAATAGTTAGTATTTTAATGAAGGCAGGATGGACAGTTGAGCATAGACCTAGGAAAGAAAGAACATACATGGATGCAGTATATGTTGATCTCAAAGGTGGGACCCACTGGTCTGTTACAAAAGCTTACTATTCTCTCAAAAAGAGAATCGAAAATGGTAAGGCTGATGATAAAGAAGTTTCCGCTTTTACCCCTATACCCGATGAGAAAATCAGTGTACTACTAAGGGTTGTTACAAAGGTCAGAAGCGATAAAGATAAGCTGAAAAAAAATAAGAAAAAGAAAAAGAAAAACAATAGTGACAAGGGTACAAGTGAGGGTGAAATAGTCATGAGTGGTGGAAGTGGAAGTGGAAGTGAAGCTCCAGTTAAGAAGAAGCTCAAAGATGGTAAAAAGAAGAAGCAAACACATAAATCTGATGTAAAATTGGGTAATAAATCATTAAAAAGGCAGCCAAAAGTAAGTCAGAAAAGTCAACAGAGCAGAAAGCCACGTCTTGTTGCTAGAATCTCCAGTAAGGGAAATGATGAAGATGATGATGGGTGTTTGATATACAGTGGGAAACGGAATCTTCTTTCATGGATGATAGATTTGGGTGTTGTTATGCCAGGTGGCAAGTTGCAGTATGGGGAAGGTAAAAAAAGAAACGGGTTGCTTGAGGGAAAAGTTACCCATGATGGGATTCATTGCAGTTGCTGTAATGAAACTGTGGACATATCAAGTTTCATATCCCATGGTGGAGGAAAAGGGAAACTCAATCAGACACTAAAAGATTTATATTTCCAGTCTGGATCATCTTTTCTAAAGTGTCTCCTGGAATCCTGGAGGAAGGAAGAGGAATCAAATACCATCAGATTTAATCTTGTTGATGTTGAAGGAGATGATCCTAATGATGACACGTGTAATATATGTGGAGATGGTGGTGATTTGATTTGTTGTGATGGTTGCCCTTCCACATTCCATCAAAGCTGCCTTGATATCCAAGTAACTATAAATCTATCATCACTTTTCTTGTTTTCAAAGTCTTTAGTTTAATTAATGTCTTATTAATATGTTTGTGTTGTAGAACTTTCCTTCTGGTGTCTGGCATTGCCTATACTGTTGTTGCAAATTTTGTGGACTTGTTTCTCAAATGGATGATTCTCGAATGATCTCATGCTGCTTGTGTGAGGAAAAATGTAAGCAATCATTGAAGATAATATAATTTTATTTTTATCTTATATCATTCCTGTCTTCATTAGCCAATGTATCTTGCTAACGAGTTAATTTATTTTGTTGTTAAAGTTCATGGGTTGTGTGTACAAGAAGAAGATGCTTTAAATCTTGATTCCAGTGGGCTGTCTTTCTGTGGGAGTAAATGCCAGGAGGTATGGAATTACTGTTTCCAGTCGGAATCTTATTTCATTAACATGTGATTAATACTTTGTTCTTTGATAGCTCTTTGAACAACTAAAAACATATCTCGGGGTCAAATTTGAGCTTGAAGATGGATTTTCATGGACACTGCTTCAGCGTGCTGATGTCAGCCAAGATTCTATACTTGTTGATGCTCCAGAAAAGATCAAATGCAATTCCAAATTGGCTGTTGCATTTTCTGTCATGGATGAGTGTTTTGTGCCAATTATGGATGAGAGAAGTGGAGTTAATATGATTCATGATGTTGTTTACAATTGTGGGTAAGTTCTAAATAACGAACTATATTTTTCTTGTATTTAAGTGGATGTAGTTTAAAAAGTAGTGTTAAAAAATTTATTTCAGGTCAAACTTCAGGAGGTTGGATTATTCTGGATTCTTTACAGCAGTTTTGGAGAGGGGCGATGAGTTGATCTCAGCAGCATCCATAAGGTTACTTTCTTTATAACTTTTTAAAATCTGTCTGAATTTTGTTCTAAAGATTTTACTAATGTTTTTTTTACTAACATAACAGGATCCATGGGAAACGGTTAGCAGAAATGCCTTTTATTGGAACTCGCCACATGTATAGGCGTCAAGGGATGTGTCGTCGCCTATTAGATGCCATTGAATCCGTATGTTCTTTGTGATTAGCTCATGATCTTGATGTATAAATAATTAAGAATTACTCAATTCTTTTTTTTTTTTTAATAAATTCAGGCTCTTAGTTCTCTTGGTGTTGGAGAGCTGGTGATTCCTGCCATCCCAGAACTTTATAAAACATGGACCACTGTGTTTGGATTCAAGCCCCTTACAAAACCAAAGAGGCAAACAATGAAGTCCATGAGCATGGTTGTGTTTCCTGGAACAGACATTCTTCATAAACCTCTTCTCAACAACCACTTTGCTGATATGAATCTTGGTCCAGCTGGCGGTAAGTTATCTTATATGTGTAAATTCCAAGTTTGGTTCTTGTGGTATATTGTTTTGTGGGCCATGCTAAATTACTTTTAAATTTATATGTCTTGGGACTAATTTTGGCTACCATAATTAAAGAAACAGCATCAAGTCCACTTACTTATGTCTTTAATTACTTGTTATGTAATTTCAGATGGCAAAGGTGTGGGATGTATCACTGTGGCAAATGACGATAATGCCCTTCACTCAGAAACCAAACCATCAAATACAATAGATTATGTGGTGAAAGAAGCTACACCCTTAAGGTATGCTCAAAGATCTGAATCTGAAACACCACCATCAGAGGCAACAACTTCGTCATCATCTGCTACAAAGTCTGAACATGTTTCAAGTGATTCAGACGTTCAATCTTCTCAACGTAAAGTTGCTGTTATAAAGAATACCTTTGACTTGAATCTTCAACCTTCTTCAAATGATTCTGATATACAATCAAATGATCAAGATTCATTTGAATTATCAAACTCAAGGCCACAGTTTGACAACAATGCTTCCTGGTTTGATCCTACCTAACTAGGCTAAATCATCGGTACGTTAGTTTCTTTTTTTCTCTGCAACCTTAACCATAGGGTGTTTTTTAATGATGGAATGGAATGCAAGTTGCAATATATAACTTATTTCTATTTTTGTAAATTTTATTACATAAATCTCTTTTAAGAAAAGTTCCATCATGTTTATTTTGGTGTTAATGATCTTTATTATGTGTAATTTCATATTTGTAGACAGAAGCTCATTAGTTATAATTAAAATAATCAATAGAGTAGAGTTAGGATTGTATAATTTACTTACATCTAATATAAAGTTTTCATATGCAAATTCATTCCGTTCCTACAAGCCAACCAAATATGATTATGAACAGTAATGTCTCATTCTATTACTATATCTGTTCTATTCATTTGTCATTCCATTTTGTCCAACCAAACACACAGTTAAGTGCTAAAAAGTCAGCTTGTTTTGGTATTTTTGGGTGTGGTATGAAATGATGTAGTAGTAACTTGTGATTAAATAAAACTGTGCTTGTTACAGGTTGACTGTTGTAAAAATGGAAGCAGATGAATCAAGGTATGGATGCTTATTTATCAGACTCCATTGCCTTGATGATGATGATGATGCTATATATATAGATTATAGACGAGGGATGTGTAGTCTCTGTAAATACGTCTTTTGTAGTGAAATTTTGGCTACTATGAAATCATACATAGCTAACTTTTGGTGCACAAGGGTTAACTTTTGTATGGTATGCAATGTACCATTTTGAATCACTCCAATCCAAGCAATGAATATCTTGGGGTTAATTTGTCTTTTGTAGAGATGCTTATGACTTGCTTATGATAACTTGGAAGTTTGATGTTTAAATTCTTCATTTACATGTCACATAGGACCTAATTGTTACCCATGACAAATATGATCAGATAAGTTGTGTTGTATTTGACATGGACCAGATTGTATTACAAATGATATTATCAATGGACAAAATTTGCAATTTTTGTAAGTATTTGCCATTATTAGAATAAAATAAATCAATTGGTTTTGATCCGATGGTTTTGGTTTGTTAAAATGGATTGTAAAATACTCCCTCCGTCCCAAAATAATAGTCCACAGATAAAAAACACACAGTTTAAGAAAACATTAATTACCATTAACTTTATTAAATAAAATGACAGTCTTACCTTTCTGTTGCATTTAATTCTATGGTAGTTGCATTTAATTTTATGGTAATTTAACTAACAATGAGGGGTATTATGGTAAAATACATGTTTATTTTTAGAAGTAAGCAATTATTTTGAGACAAACCAAAAAGGAAACATGGACTATTAATATGAGACGGAGGGAGTATAACTTTTACTTTTGATATGTAGTAAAAGTTTTGTAACATGGAACATTTACTTGTGACAGTTGGAAGATGTTTGCTAAAATAGTGGAAGAAGACCATAGAGCTCGCATTTACTTTTTATGTATAAATCATTAAATTGTTAAATGATTTTTTCTGAAGTTTGGTTTGGAAAAATAATTCATCATGATACGTTTTTACATTTTAAATATAATCACATTAGGATATTAATGCAGTTGCCAATAGTCTAGAAGTTAGCAAAGTACACGTCTACAAAGATAAATAGTATTTATAAGATTAAAAAGCCTATCTCTTTGAGTTATAATTTTATTTATGGCAAAAATGAAAAATGTAATGTTTAAAGATGCCTTACTATTATCATTTTTGAAAGTAGAGAATTTCAATCCCTTTGCTCATAATGGATCAACTTGGATTATCTTTTATTACTAACTTGGAGTCAAATAGCTCGGGAAAAGAACTTTATTTTTCTTTCCCCTCCAAGTGAAATACGACAAATCGATGTGTTTAATGCATAAAAGCTATAGAGTTAGTATATTATGGGATAATGGGAATAAGATTATTAAAGTTGTTACATAATTTCTATTTCTATCCAACATTGTTTACTTATATGAACGTTAAATGATAATTTGGATCAACCCGATCAAAGTCCGTTTCAACTTTCATTCTTTCAAGTTTCGAGCCATAAATTAAAAACGTAACCTATTAACAAAATATCTAGTTTTTAGATGTGATTTTAAACGAATTATAAACGGTTATACTAATTCGATCACTTTATACTAAACATGAATTAGAACTAAACTGGATTTCAAAAAACCAAAACCCGAACCGATTTCTACCGAAATCATACAAAAACAAATTTATTTTGACCCGTTATTAACATATAATCCGAGTATCCGACCCACTAATTGGTTTTGAAATAGTTAACATGCAGGCCCAGCCCACGTTGTCTTCTCAAAGGCATTTGTGGTTTCGGAGTTCGGAGTTCGGACTACAAATACGTTTTTAACTCGATTTTAGGGTTCTTTTTAGTTCTACCCTGAAGAAGGAAAGAGGAGGCAGAGCCGTCCATTGGAGTAAATTATCGCAGGTTTCTTTCTTTCCATTTGTCTGTAACTCCAATTCAAATACATGTGATTGCAAGTCTCGTTTTGATCTATTTTAGTCGCATGATCAGTTGTTTCCAAAACAAATGAAAAAGATTAGTGTTGTTATATAATCTCTCCGTGAACAGCTTGTAGATTGGTAGGGAGAGTTTGCATCATACAGTAATCACTCTCTTCTCACTACCACGCTCTTTTATAAGTTTGAAAGTTATGCGATTGATAGAGGTGTGTGTGTGTGTGCGCTTTTGGTAGGAGAATTAGTTAGAGGATTGGAAGCGATGTGAGCAACGCCTATGGTTTTATTTATGGGTAAATAACTAAATATAGTGTTTGTAGAATCGATCCAAGTGAAACTCTGAATTAGTTAGAGGTCTATCTGTTAATGATCATATAAAGTTAGGGATCTGAAATTATGATTTCAATGACTATCTAGATAGTCAACATGATTTGCTGTTTTCTACCTAAACAGACTGATAACATACTGTCAAATCTGCTTATTCAATTTGTTACAATTTTACATCACATTACACTTATATAGCCTCTTTAAAGTTTACGTTTTTGTTGTATTTCAGGTGTTGAGAGGAGAAAAAGCTTAATTGCAATACAACCATGGTACACCCAAATTCTTTCCCTCTTTTCCTTTATGTGTTTGTGCTTTTTATGTGTTGATGGTTGATGAATTTGTTCTGCATTTGGCAGTCGCTTGTAGCAACTGAAGAATTTCAGCACATTCTTCGTATACAAAACACAAATGTTGATGGAAAGCAAAAAATCATGTTTGCTATGACCTCTATCAAGGGAATCGGGCGTCGGTTTTCAAATATTGTTTGCAAGAAGGCCGATGTTGACATGAACAAGAGGTAATTTGCCATTGATCAATCACCTAGAGTTGAATGATTCTTTTGATTTTTTCTAGAAAACCTTTTGTTCTTTCAAACTAACTTTCATGTCATTCATGATGATGCAGGGCTGGTGAACTCTCGAATGCTGAGATTGATAATCTGATGACTATTGTTGCTAACCCTCGTCAGTTCAAAATCCCAGATTGGTTTCTTAACAGAAAGAAGGATTACAAAGATGGGAAATACTCCCAGGTTACCTCTAATGCACTTGACATGAAGCTCAGAGATGACTTGGAGCGTCTCAAGAAGATCAGGTCTCTCATTTTCTTTTCCCTTTTGATGATTTATCTATACATGTGAATCATAATACTGTAATCTTGAAATAGATATTAGAGAAAAAGAATATATATAAATATGCTGACGTGGAATTTTGGTTTGTGTTAGGAACCACCGTGGGCTGCGTCACTACTGGGGTCTGAGAGTCCGTGGACAACACACCAAGACCACTGGTCGTAGGGGAAAGACTGTTGGTGTGTCCAAGAAGCGATAAGTTTGTCTCTGTTGAACCTTTTTTACAATTGGTGCTCTTTTTATTTTCTGCTAGCAAGTTGTTAGAATTTCTTGTCAAGAGATTATTGGTTTATGAACTGCTGAGTTGATGGGTTTTTGTTTTTCTGTTTAATCGAAATCTTGAGTTAACTTTTGAGATACCAAAGCACCATGAGTCCATGACTGATATAAAATGCCGTTCTATATTTTGCACTTCAAGCTGGACTTGATGCCATATCATTTTTGGAAAATAGTCCTAGAAAATCGGTTTGTATATGTATTAATAAACTTTATACAAAACAAATAGATACCAATAAACAAAAACCATTAGTCGGTGTCTGATAGCGATACCATGTGTATGACCAACTATTGATTCAAATGTCACAAGCTTAATGATAAACAGACGTATATTGAATATAATTGTACAGACACAAAATTATGATAAGTTTGTTCTAAATAGCCGTGATATTTAATTTCACATTAAAAATTCTAACTTATATTTCCAACATTCTATAATTATTATGGACACTTGCTATTTGTAATTAAAACATTCTTAATATGTAGGTATATTGACCAGTACTATTATGAAAACACAAAATTAACAATAATGACGTTCTATTTGTTTATTGGAACCTCGTTAAAATTATGAGAAATTAAATCTTCTCGTCCATTAAAACTATGAGAAATTAAATATCCTTCTATATTTTCTTCGTATTCACCCTATATTTTCTTCGTATTCATCCTAATACCCATCTAATATGTGGACTTCAATGTTGTAACAAAAATGTATTTATGAACCAGTACATCATATTTGAGTCGATCTGGGCATCAAGCCATCATATCATGTGTTTAGAAATATATTTGCGAATTAGTGGTGGACGCAAAACATTTAAATAGCGGTGACATTCATATTATGGACGCAAAACATTTAAATAGCGGCGACATTCATATTATGAAGTCATTCACTCCCAACCCACTGAACCCACTGCCACATCACTTTTTCTCTTTTATTTTTCTTCATCTTTCCGAACCCACAACACACTGAAACCTTATCTTTTTGAACTCACTCAACCCACTCAATTAAAAAAAAATACAAAACAATCAAATGTAAAATCTTAATTAGCAATAGAGTTATCGGCGGTACCACTCTCGCTTCAACGAGTGGGTTGATTGGTTTCACTAATCCACTTCATCATCTCTCTCTACTTTCTCTTTCTTATTTTCTCTTGTACCATGTGTTTTAAAACTTGTATCTTAGTTGTTTTGTATTTTTTTCAATTGAGTGGGTTGAATGAGTTCAAAAAGATAGGTTTTCCGTGTGTTGTGGGTTGGGAAAGATGAAAAAAATGAATAGACAAAAATTAATGTGACAGTGGGTTCGGTGGGTTGGGAGGGAACGACTCCCTCCTCCCTTAATAGAAAAACATTTTTTTTTCACTACAAGGTTGAATCGGAGTAGTGGCCCGGGACCCAACAGGCTCTATACAGGTCCGCCACTGTCAGTACATGATATGAGTCAACTGGACAATCATATAATATAGATAAAATTTCACATCATATATATCACCTTTATCTATGAGATGCATATCTAATAGAACATTCAACAAATTAACAAGTTGAGTACCTTCCTCCCCTCATTTAACAGGACGACGCCAACACCAAGTTCAACCATCATTCGACTTTCTATCCTGAATGTAACAGTTTTGCTCCATCTCTAAACGAATAGACGAGGAAACCGAGAACATAATAATTGGTCGCCAATCTAGAGATCATTTCAAAATTGAATATTAGACTCGTTCCCAAGTATATATTTTTAACATGGAAGTTAGAACAACATCCTTGTCCTCCAACCGTTTCCATGAAGCAACAATTCTACCCACCATTTGTACATGTACCTAACTTGAATCCTCCTTTAACACAAACAGCTGTAATAACCTTAACCCATAACAATTCACCACATGTCAAGAAACTCTATTTCCATTTTAGAAGGAAAACAAAATTAAAAGCTGTCAAACTCCAGATATTAAGCCCCCATGCTCCAAATCTGCCAAAAGTGAATCCCAATTAACCCATGACATTTTTCTATGATCCCCCCCCCCCTCTTAGAATTTGGAGCAATAAAATTCCAAAATTTTTGCGGGTTCCACATCTTAAAGAAGTCGGGGAACTCTCTTGGGTGGACTTCAAGTGCGATGATAGTCAGTCTGATGTTTTCTACCATGCCATCTTTATTAGTTTAAAGACCGGGCTTGGGGTTGGTCTCAGTGGTCAATGAAAATATATTAGTGTGTTGTCTTAACATACATAAATTTTATTAGACTGCTAGCTTTACCAGCGGTAGGAGGGTGAAAAGACGGTGCATGAGCGAAGTAGGATCCTCTTTTTTTGTATCCCATCAACGATATTCTTTGGTTTTGGTACATAACAATTTGCTTATGCACACTAAGATGTTGTTTGTTTTTCTGAAGCCAAAATGTCTGCAGTCTGCGGACCATATCTGCAAGTCTCTGCAGCAGAAGAGGTGGACCAAATGTCTGCAGTCTGCAATAAAAAGTCTGTTTGTTTTTTAACGTCTGCAGGTACTGAAATAAACTGGTTTTTCAAACTTAATTTCATGTCATAAACATAAAAAAAAGGCATTTTCAGCAAAAAAGATAGGCGGCGGAAAAAGAAAAAAAAAAGATAGGCGACGTTTTTTTTTTTGGTTTAAGTTAAAATGAGGCGTGAAGACTTTTGAAGACATTGGCCCATGTCTGCGCCATGAAGACCTCGCGCAAATGTTTTTTGATCTGCACACTTCCAAAAAACAAACACTCTGCGATGGTATATGTCTGTGTGGCGCAGACAAAAGTGGTTGCCCAGATCTGCACAAAAAAAAACAAAAAACCCCTAAATTTTATGCAATAGTTACCGGCATAAAAAAATTGACATGTAATAAACTCCCAAAACACCCAAGATAGATTTAATTAAAAATAGTCTTCCTCCACCAGAAAGAGTTGAAACTTTCCACATCGACATCTTCCTCTTAATTTTATCCAAAATCGGCTGCCAATCATTCATCGTGTTCATTTTTTCACCAAACGGAAGACCCAAGTAAGTGAAAGGTAATTTTCCTGGTTTACATCTCACAGTTTTCGAGTACTCTACCACTTCATCCCACTTTACACCAATACCAAAGATATTAGATTTTTCAAGGCTAATCTTCAAAATAGAGACTAGATAAGAACAATGTAGAATTGCAACCATATTAACCATATTACCTCTACTCCAATCTCCAAAAATAATCACATCATCCACATAAAAAAAAGCGTGACAAATTAGAATGAAAGACCATCATTATGAGCTCCTTTAAACCCTCCATTATCAAAATGAACAGAAACGGGGATAGAGGATTACATTGTCTAAGACCTCTTTGAAGTTGAAATTCCTTCGACGGACTTCCGTTAAGAAGCACAAAAGCTCTAACAGAAATCAAACACACATGTATCCAAGATCGCCATTTTTCTCCAAAGTTCAGAAATTTCATCACCGTATCTAAATATTCCAAACTAACTGATTCATAAGCTATAGCAAAGTCAGTTTTAAAGAGTATCCATTTTCCATTCTTCTTCTTATACCACTCGACAACTTCATTCACCACCAACAGACCATCTAGAAATTATCTATCTTTAACAACCACCGTCTACTCATCACTAACAAGAGTACCAATAACCTCTGCATTCCACCGATTACCTCCACCCTCCAGTACAACCACATCCAGTAGCAAAAAATAAAATAAAATAGGGGGATGAGAACACAATAAGGCATGCATAATATTGGATTCAATGATTAAAGACACAAGGTTTGTACATGGGTGGGGAATTGTTTGGATATGAAGGTGAAATAATTGGGTGATGGTGTGTAGTCGTGGGTGCGATAAGGGTTTTAATCTAAAGCGATTTCTTGTCAAACATTCTTTTCAACCTTCATAAACAGATCTTTGAAAACCTTCAAAAACATATATGGAGGGAGAGAAGTGAAAGGAACGGAATGGGAACCTAATTATTCTTGTTGATGTAGCCATGAAGTTTTGGGTTGCAGAGGGTAAAGGTAAGAGAGAGAGAGAGAGAGAGAGAGAGAGAGAGTCCTAAAAATGAAATAAAAGAAGAGAGATATAATATTTTTTATTTATGTTTAATAGAAAAACTAACGGTGTGTCATAAGAACTGATGGTGTGCTAAGTTTTCTCATTATGTGTTCTTCACGATGGTGTCCTCCACCGTTTCTATTCCCCAATTAGATTAATCCAATATACCACCATCGACTTCAGCCCCTTCCAGTCGTTCCCTTTTCTTTCTTGCAAATAAATTTCACCGCCTATTCTATTTTTCATTCCTTCCTGCTCATGCACTCCCAACGACTTCTGAGATCGATTGACAATAGCTTTCTTCGATTCCACCCATCGGCATTGTATTCCAAGTTCCAACAATCGGATCGGAAGATTATATACCCGATGAGACCAACGAAGGGGATAATAATGATGAATGGGGAGACGTCTCTTGGAAACGGAGCTCCGATGGCGGAATAGGAGGAGGAAGCGCAATAAATTTTCGATGATCATAGCCGATTCATATGCAATTTCCAGATGCAATTTCGCTTTGCGTCAAGCTGATTTCATCTATATTTCTTCCTATTAATTCTAAATTTAAAGATTTGGTTCAGCAAACCATGTGTTTCACTTGTGCCCTAAATTGTGGATTATTTGCTTAACCAGATTTGTTTTTTACTCTTTCTTGATGGTAACCTCTCTTTGTTAAGTCTTGATTTTCATGTTTTGGGTTTTTTCTTATGTGGTCGAAACATTCAACTGACCACAACGACTGTCATAGAAGACCATGTTTTTGGGTGTATCGGGAAAGGTAGAAGAAAGACATATAAAAGAATCCGTATATTCAGTGACAATGGCCTGAATCGAGTACCTAAAAAACAACAATACATCAATTGTCCAACATACATTTTTCTGATTGAGTTTGTATATGTTTTGAAGATCCATGTGGATAAAATATTTGATGTGGAGTTTTGGTTCGTTATATTTTCAAATTTTGAAGGAACTTCATCAATCTTGTCAAAGGGAAGATGGGACTGAAAAGATCAAAAGAACGGAAGTCAGTTATTGGAAGTGTATGCCATTGAGATTCAAACTTAAACAAAAAGTAAGAACAACAAAAAACTCAAGGTATAGAATCTTTGATTGCTAATGTTATGTTATAAACTTATAATTACAAGTGACAAAATATTTTGTATGTTTTTGTGAATGACCCTTCTAGCTGTTGTTTGCATCTGATTCCCAATTGGTAGTAATGTAAGTTCACAAAATGGATTAATTGCAGATGTGTAGTAGTGTAATTACAATAAATTGTTAAATTATGAAAATATCATGCTTCAGTTCTTGACCATTAACAAAAAAATTCTTGAAGTTAATTTCAACCTTTAGAGGACTCACTGAGTCTGTGTAATTACGAGTCTATTTATGTTGTCTTTGCAGGCTGTGAAAACTGGAGACACCATTTTCATTGGTCAATACTTATTCACAGGACATGGGACAACTTCTCTTTGGCTGGAGGTAAGGGCAAACATGTCTTTTCTTTTACTGTAGGCTCATCTACTCATATGTTAAAATTCAATTTTGGTAAATCTGGATGTGGGCTTATGTTTGATGCTTTAGTTGTAAAAAATATTATCTAATCCACCATAAACAAAGAATTACATTAAAATTAAACTTAAAAGTTTTTGAAAGAAAACAATTTGTTCCGACTTCTGATTTTGGCATGATTTATTCATGTACTTTGACATGATCATGTTGATAAAGTTGAAGGGGTTGATGTTGTTTGCAAGATAAAGAATTCTACAACTTTAGGTGGGGCTTTGTTCTCTTTGCATGCTTCTTAAATTCATATACAAAGCCCATAAATGGGTGTATGGTTCACTAATTATATCGTTTGAGGTTTTGAGATTAATTTCTTGAATATGGGCTTACTTTAATTTTATTTATTAATGGTATTTATTTTGTTTTTTGCATTACCGTGAATATCAATTATTAGGTTTGGATCACATAATTGGGATGTGGCATTGCTGGTCTTTCTACTGGCATGACTATCAGAATTGTTGGTGATTTTGGTGTTTGGTAAATCTTCTTGGTTTGTATCACTCAAAATCTATTTATGACTGATTCATTGTGATTACCATGGTAGATATAACCAATATATGCTGAATCGATTTGCCTTAATTAAACTATGTGTGTGATTATAATAAATTTATATCTGCATTACATTACCATGTAAAAAAGAGGCATTCATGTGGAATTAGTCCTATTGCATTCATAGCTTATGTGCATATCCTAATCAGTATTCCACAAACCTTAAGTTCCTATGGTGAGTTTTTGTAAACACGTATGTTACATTTGTATTATGATTTCATGATTTTTAATACCTTTGATTCCAGGAAGGTTTGACTTTCATGTCCAACTGGCTGCTCCTGCAGCTGCTGAACGTGGCACTTTACTTAAATATGAGATTCATAAATGTTCTTTGTCCTATTCTGATGATGTTGTGTTAGATATAGCTTCCTCATGCGATAGATATGATGCATATGATCTGGTATTTGGTTCTTTTTCCATATCTCCTACATCTGCATATATGATTACTATTAAATAAGTTTGTAAGACAGAGTGAAAGTGGAAAACATATAATTAACTTTTATAGGAAATACTGGTGGATAGGTCAGCTCATGCTGCAATTGGTCGGTTTGTGTCTCATGGATTGAATTTTGGGAGCGAGAAAAACACTAATTTGACTAAGGATGATTTTGTACAAGCAATGAAAGGTTTCTTGTCTATTGTAATGCATGTTATTACTAAATCTGCTTCTGAAGAAGGGCATGAAGTCTGGCAGGATGTTGGTGGTCTAATTGAAATTCACAATTCTATCAAAGAGGTATACATATCCTTTTCTTGTAACATTATTAGCCACAATAGAGGCTTTAGCTGAATTAGTTCTTTATTATACATTGTACACTAATTTTATTTCCATATATGTTTCATTTATATTTCAGATTATGTGCCTTCTTGTAGATATTGGGACTTGAGGCAACCTCATCCGGTTCACACTCAACAACTTAACTCCCTAGGCGATGCTATGCACTTACTGTGACGCTCCATTTTGTTTTTGGAATTTCCAGGAAAGACTAAATTTGTTGCAATATGAGTTTCTCATTTAATTAGTTTTGCAGGTGTACATTTTGACTTGCAAAAATAGTCTTTGTTTTTGAAAGTTTATCACAGTTTTGGTTCTTGTGGTGTACTCTTTCAGTTTTCAAGGGACAAATGGTAGTTTTAAAAAATCTAACAACTAGGTTATTAGCTTAGACAACACAGAAAACAAAATAAAGATAAACCCAAAAACAAGGACCAAATATGTGGTTGAAAATTTTTTGTGACCAAAATTGTAAAATCCAGTAACCAAAGTGTAATTTGCTTGAAAAAAGAAAGGTCTGTTTTCTACCTTTCTCATTTTTTTTTATTATGGTTTCATGTGTTCCCATTTTCTTTTATTTATGCTATGTTGATGGATTTTGGGTTTAATTCTGATGTCATAAAGTGTTATACAACCTCCTTTCCCTAAACCCATCTTTGGTTACTTTTTTTCTTCAGAAATCATCATCCCAGCATTACCACAACCAATATGTGATAGGCAGAAGGATCTTGAGACAAGTCGTTAGCAGTTGACAACTGCATTAGTTCAGGCTAAGATAAAGATCAACTACATCTTTTGTATTCCTTTACTATGCAACCCACACATTTTCACTACCTACCAACCTATGTAATGTAACGCCCAGTTTTGAATCGTTCACCATTGTAGGGTGAGGATCAAGGAGTGGGTATTAGCAGACTTAGAACCCTTGAGGAATGAGTTTGGGCTCATTGTAAGTGGATGATGCAGTTTGGATGATCCGGGTTTTCGGAGCCCAAGAGTATCGGTAAAGGCGTTGGTTCGGGCCTTTTATGAATTTTGGATTTTATTTCGGTTGGTTTTCAGGATAAATAAAGTTGATAAAAGTGTAGGGCTTCTCGTTACCTTTTCGTGGATATAAAGAACGTCGAAAACGGATAAGGGATGCAAAAGTTATGACCATTTGAAGTTTAAGGGATTTTGGGCCAAAACGGGTACGCATGGCGTACCCGGTAGGAACACATGGCGTTCAAGAAGGAAATTGGATGCGGACCATGTTGGGAACGCCCCATTTGAAGTTTAAGGGGTTTTGGGCCAAAACGGGTACGTATGGCGTACCCGTTAGGAACGCATGGCGTTCAAGAAGGAAATTGGATGCAGACCATGTTGGGAACGCAGTGCGTTCGCTGGGCAGATTTAATAGCTCATTTTTAGGGTTTGGTACCTTTATAAGCATCACTATGGACCCAAACCTCTTCCATTCTTCAGCCTCCATCATCTCTAACCCTAAGAACGAAACCCTAGCCTCCATTTGAGTGATTCTTGAGCTTCAAAGTGATTTATGTGTGTTTTGGTGCTTGAAGAAGAAGAAGGAACTTCTTGAAGAGTCATTGCTTGACTTGGAGCTTTTGGATCCAAGCTTTGTGCATCTAGATCTATCTTCTGGAGGTATAAAGTTTCAACCTTGACAACTCTTTCATGTATATCTAGCTATTTGGTTTTTGGTTATGGTTTTGGTCCCTTTGTGGTGGTTCTTGTGTGTGAAAGTTACTCCAGAACCTTTGAGCTTCATATTTGGTCCTTGTTGAGGTTATGGAATCATAAAGTTTGGATATTGATAGGTAAAAATTTTCCATGCATGATTTGGTAGTCATTTGATGAAGTTTGGGACTTCGGGTTTTGATTTGGGTCCCATTGAGTTATGCTAAGTCATAAAGTTGGAAACTTTATGACTTAAGAAGTACCTTTGAATCAGATCTGGAAGTTTGGACTAAGATCTTAAGGTGAAAGCTTGCATCTTGGCCTCTTTATAGGGTTATAATGCTTGAAATCATGATTGGTTCCTTTTGGACCATGCAAAGGTTCCAAGTTGACAACTTTATGGATTAAGTCACTGATATGATGTTATTTTGAGGATTCGAACGTCAGACTTAAGGTATTATGACGTTTGGGGTAATTTTTGGACAATGGCCGGGAACGCCGTGCGTTCAGGCAAACGGTCACGATCGATGGTCTGGCAATGAACGTCCTGCACTCTACCAGGGAACCCAGCGCGTTCAGTTCATCAGTGGGCTTTTTGGGCTTTTGGTCTTGGACTTAGTTTTGGGATTTGGGCTTTCTGTTTTGGGCCATGTGTGGACTAATCTGATTGAATTTCACAGTTTGGGCCTAAGGAGTTTGGGGTTGGGCCTTTGTGGGCCCAGTTTGGATTTGGGCCTTAGAGGGCCTAGTGAGTAGTTGGGCCTTAGTGGGCCCAATGGGCTTGGGTTAATATTGTTGGGTTATGTGCAAAACATCATTCCTATGGTGTACATGCAACCTTAATTGCTTTGATCTAGGCTTTTCTAATTTGAACATACAACTATGAATACCAAAGCAATAAACTCTAATCTAGCATGCTTATTTCGAAATTGACATAATAAACAAGTGTTGCACCTTTAATGGAGTCACAAACACTCTTGCAACAAGATGACTTAGTAGAGGGGAGGAAATCGGCTAGGGCTCCTTCAAAGACACAGATCGCCCGAAATCCTCATGTATGAGGGTCTATTTATAGTTGTGTGGGCTGCTAGGGTTTCAGGTGGAAACCCTAATTCTCTGCTTAGGCCTTAAGCAATCCATGAAAGCCTTCTAGAAGGCCCCTTGGACGAAATCTTCATGGGCTTCCCATAGATTTCGTCCAACCCCTTCTATTCGGAGTCCATAGCCCAACTTGCAACTATCAGCTATTTGCATAACAGTCTCTCAATTATTTAATCAGTCTCTTTTGATCATCAAATTAATTCCATATTAATTTCTGATTAATACTACTTAAATAATATGATTTCCAAATAATATATTAATCTTGTAATATATTAATAAAACCATTTTGAGTATGAATTTATTATTCATATAATAAGTTCTACTCTCTCTCCTCTTGTCATTCTATCAAGTTGCATGAGTGAAGGCAACCCAAAAGGACCATGCTCATAATCAAATCAAGTACATACCAAAAATAGTTATGGGCTTAGACACCTAATCCAACAGTCTCCCACTAGGATAAGTCTAATAACTATTATTACAAGTATGACTTCAGAATCTGATTAGCAATCGTAGCTTTCAAAAGCCGCTTTCGAACTCTGATCTTATCAGCAACGTGTCCTTTAGATAGGGGATCATATATTCCTCCGTTCTCAAGATATCGTATGAACTGAGACATGGATTTTAATCATACTCTCTGTTCATGTGTTGTTTCCCGATTTCCGATTTATGACGACTGACAACAGACTACAATTGAACACATCAACTTAGTCCAGGCTTGGCCAAGCGCTTAGGGTGTCATCACTAAATCATCGAGGGGCCCACATATATCGCTTTTATCCCACTTTGGGTAAAAGGAACGGATAAACGTCGACTCATATTCCTAATCCTTATCACAAGTGTAACCGACTCGTAAACTGCAACTCATATATCTCCGTTTCAAGAATATAAGATATTATCGTCTCACCAATCACTCGTGATAAAATCCATGAAGTGATTCACGTGAGCGTGGGTTTAATCCAATACTCAAATCTTATTTCAGGAGTACTCATGAACACTGCAACAAACTTTTGCTATGTCTAAACACTTTAGACAATCTACAGTCGGATTCATGACAGTCTTACCTCATTACCTACTTCCAAAGTATGATTTACTGTGGATGTTTGAATAACCTAGTTATTCAGGAAGTCAAAACATGAAAAGTGAAACACAAGAATAATCGAATCCAATATGATCTCAAACTTTGAGTATAAATAAAACATTGAATAATGTTTCGAATAATCAACTTAATACTTGAATTATAACTATAGTTGTCCCATGCTCCAAGCATGCACACTATGTTTACCTATGGTCCTTACTTTGTGAAATAGATCAATCGAAAACATTTCCAATGATGCTCATTTCACAATTCCTAATCCTTTTCACAAGTGTAATAATACCAAATTCTTGCCACTATCAGAATATGTTAGATTTTAACATTTTATGCAATGATCCTTTTGTAATGTCATAGCACCAAAGTCACCAAGACTTTACCAATGAAATTACAAAGTGCAAATTTGAAGATTGTTACAAGACAACTCCATAGATATGAAGTCTCACATTCAAAGTACATTCCTTTGAACATCATTCCTGCATAAAAGTTTCTAATCTACATAGATTCTCAATATCCAACTCACATTATGGAAACATTTCCATATTTCCCATATGACAACTCATTCTTAATAGAGTCCTATCTATTCATAATAATGCCAATATGGTCCATCCATTATTATACTTCCAACTGCCCACAAGCGACCAATCCTTAGCGGACCTCAGACCGTCCTTGACAGTTGTTTAATTATTTTAGTCATATCCGGTTCTGGTCCTTTTTCCCTTTTAATGCCCTAGGCATTTGGAAAATCAGAACGGACGAATATTACAACATATGCAATCGATCCTATACCCGAAGCGTATAGGATACGATATGCAATGGAAACGTGATACTTTACCAGTCTCTTGCCATAATATTGCCATATATAGAATTCCCTTATGTTGAATCTTTTCAACATAACATTTATATATGTCCTTTGACTAAATCTGATTAAAATTTCTCGATCTAAGCTTTTAGATTTGAAATGAAGTATAATATTCTCTCCCTTAATTATAACAAAAATAACATTTCAAGCTCTACAACTTTGCGAATTGAAACTTTTGTTTTCTATAACTAATATTGCTGACTCGCAACACTTACCATAATAATCATGTTCCCACTAACATGATAATTATATCCATACTAGCATAACATTTATGCTCCCACTAGCTTTGACATGTATTCAGAAATCAGCTGGACTTCTAGAAATCAACACTTGTTGACTTCCAAAGTTCATATTTCTAATACAGATGCTTCGATAAGACTTTATATGGGCTTCTCAAACTCATACACATTTCCTTAGATAGCTCACATGTGTGTCTAAACAGTTTCAGAACTTACAACAGTAAGTCCCGAATGTTCAAACTAATTGTCAAATCTCACAATTCGAACTATGAAGAGGGATGCCGTAATCATAATCGAATTTGAGAATGCAATTTACACAATCGTTATCTCCTTAAAATCTTCTTAGTGAAAGCGTTTCCTCATAATCATTTTCATGAA